CGCGCGCCGTTTTATATTTCTTAAATAATTAACCCTGGATTAATATATACTAAAAAGGATTTGAGCACTCCGACACAGAGGTGCACACAGATTTTGCATCCTCTAGTTTATAATGATATTGCATTCTGACATGGCATGTCAATCAAAGTCCATGCAAATAAGCCAAATAACATTGAAAATCTTGGTATGCCAACTCTCTGAAAAAATTTTACTATGAGGCAGAAAACAGTGTTTTAATATATTTAATTAGTATAGTTTTATTAAAAGTGGCTAGTTATTTAAGTTTGTTTTTGTTTGGTGTATTTAAAAGTCTCAGCAACACTTAACAAATATGGCTGACATAAGTTTTTCCAAAAATATATCACATTTTCTATCTCCTTTCTGCTGAGTGTCTCTCGTTGTTGTTCTCGACAAGTAATTGAGAGACTATATGCCCAGGGGAGGGGGGTGGGGACCCCCTTTATTTGCTATACGGGTATGTGCCGCAGGATAGGGTCCCTTTTTCGAAGCTTCATGTCTGGGATAGGGTACCACTTTTGCACATTTGTCTGAGTCAGGGTAGTAGTTTTGTCTGGGATAGGGTAGTTTGTATTGTCTAGGATAGGGTATAGTCTCATTGTCTGGGGTAGGGTGGAGTTTGTGATCGTATCTGCTAGGCCACGCTTTCAGCGCAGCATTTCAACCTAACTTCCCCCCCCCCCCCCCCCCCCCCCCCCGGACCATATGAGATTCAAAACACAAGCAAAATACAAAAAAATTATAAATCTGAAAATTTACATCATGTGCACTCACAGTATGCAGTTGATAAGTTCATAAACTGGAAATATCAAATTGCACATTTATTATCAGTATTGGGATCCCTGTGCTATCAGGATGTTTTTTTTACTGAAGACAATTTTGTTGCCATATTTCGAATGTACCATGAACCCCCGTTCGTCAATATTCAAATGTAAAGTATATTTACGAGAGTCGATCTTTCTAGCGTACAAATTGGAAATAAACAGTCGAATTTGAGATCACTAGGGTAGGGAGTGGAGCACGTACAGGGGCCACATGGGCACCCAATTTCGACAAATCTTACTAATAAATGCTCTACTGCTCACATCCGGTTTATTTTCAAAATTTACGCTGAATGAAACTCAGGCTAATAAGGAAAACATCAAAATATACGACTTTTCAAGCTTTTTACTAGCGATGGATAAAAATACACCAGTAAATATACATGCCCACCTCGCTAAACCTCAAATGTCTATATGTCTACTTTGAGAAGATTCAACTTGCTTCAAAAGGTATAAACGAAAATGAAACCGATCGCAAAGTTTAATAAAAAGGTTCAAGGAAAAATCCCCTAAGATTGAGATGGAAGGAGTAATTGTACCGGATCCGACATGAAACAGGAAAACCCCTCTTCTTTTTAATATCTCGCTGTGTAACCAGAGACAATCAATGTTTTTCTGGTTAAACAAACTTGACCTAACTTTAAAAACAGCGCCTGTATGCATACTTTTATGTTTTGGCGAAGTACCAAAAGAGGCTTGAGTTTCATCAAGGGAAAAACCCCTAATTATGTATGCAGTCATTGTACGTTGTTTGCAACGTAAAAATATCATGGTTTTCACCGCTAATTTGAATGTTTTCAAAAAAATCTTTTGCAAATCCTACAAACAGATGTCGCTTGCATTCCTGTTCATGCTTCATTGCTATTTCTGTGTTGAATGTGTTATAGAGAAGTGGTACATATGTTGGCGTGACGAGTTCTAGCGTGACTTTTTCCCATAAGTCATTGCAGTGTTTAATCGTTTCTGGATTAAATAATAAACCCAAGGCCAAGAAGTTTCTCAGTATCGTTAGAGTTTTGCTCTGACCATATCAAGGGTTTCATTCATTTCTTCCTTGGAGCTTGACTCAAACAAGAAACCAAGAATGTAGTCCTATATTAACCAAAGTTCGCCCTTAGTGTCGCGATGGAGGTAAGAATATTAATATACCATGATTCCTCGCTGCTGTCGGACTGTACAATGTCCGCGTTTCTTGGAACTATTGCGCATTGTTACACCCACAAAATCAAAAGTGGCTAACAAAGCAGAAGCATACGGGAAGTTTAGCTCAACAATTCAGTCAAGAATATTAAGATATAGTAAGACTGTTTCTTATTTAGCTTATAGAGCAACGTACATGTACTACATAGTTTTTGAAATGTATACCACCATATATCGATAGTTAAACCTTCGGTAAGCGGACAACTTGGGAAACGAAATATTGTCCGCTTGTAGAGCAGTCTTAACTTTTCATCCATTTTTAATTTGCTTTTGAGTATACTGTCGTTTTATTCTACCTTAAACAGTTGCACGGATTAAGTGCGATCACTCTACGCAAATTATTAATTGAATTTACTCAAGTGAAGCATTCAATACCGTCTTGCTTCAGGTCCACTTTTAGTACAAATTAGTACTACTTAGATTTAATATACTAAATCTAAAGAATAACAAATCAGAATAGAGTGAATCTTGAGATTTTTAGGTTGAAAGCTGCTGAGAATAATTCTTGATTAGTAATATGGAGTCGACGTTTGTGTCGGAAGCATCAGTGGAAGCGGTGAGGAAACTGGAATGGATACTGCTTTCACGCGCGCTAATATATGTAACTGGTCACGATTTTAACTTGAATTCGAGGCCAGTATCTGCAATATGGACGGATCGAAACACGGCAGTAAATGAACAAGAGCTGAAAATCTATTCGTCTGTTTCCAATTTAACGTTATTCACCAAGAAACGAAAAATAAAACTTGCATATAGTGCTGTCTCCCTTACTTTCATTGTCTGTAAAGGGTCGTAAAAAGGGTCAAGGGAAAATCCCCTACTTTTGTGTCAGGCGATGTCCGGCTCGTTTTACACTGATATATTTTGTTTGTTTGTAACCCTACGTACAATTTTGGAATCAAGTATTAGTCATCATGCTATCATGCTGAGAATTAAAGATATGATAAACGCCAGTTACGGACATCTTCATTGAAAATCCACTAGACATTACTCGATGATGCATCGCAGGAACCAAGATGGCGGACAACTCCGCGCGAAACCTGGTTATAGAAAATGAGATTTTTGAGGTCTGGAAATTACTGTGGAAGCTTTTTGATCATTTGTCAAAGAAGCATTAATTCAGGAGTCCACTTGGCATATAGATACAGCATTCTATCACCGATTACGTTTCTGGTTTCCCGAACGGTTCTAAGAGATATCTAGCAGTTGCGCCGCTCGTAATATCTTGGTCTTATTGCTAGTTCTATGTACCTCTATGTATATATTTGAGCAGAGAACTACTTCTTGGCGTGACGGGTTGTAGCGTGACATTTCCCATAAGTCCATGCATTTAGTTTATGCGTATTCTTATTGGGCTCTCCAAAATTGGTACCTTTAAAAAGCAAATTTCTATTCCTTGATATATACCATTGTATGGAGCAATTAAAACTATTCTGGACAAGTTTGAAGGAATTAGAATTAATGGTTATCGAGTTATAGACCTTTGAATACGGGACACATTTTGGTAAGAATGTATGTGGTGACCTTGCTGTCAGTACGCCAACATGGCGGATAATGAATCGAAGTCTTCAAATATCTTAAACATATTGTCAAAACTCTTAGAATTTGCTTGGTTATTTGTGCTTAGTTTTATTTATTCTCAATAATCCAAGGAAATCTATAAAAAAAAATCTTAACTTTTGTTTAAAATTTCAATGAAAAGTGTTGTTGCGTGACACATAGTGTGGCCTCATTCAACTTTTAATATTTAGATAACACAGCAGAGTTTTTCCTTGAAAATTCATGTAAATGTGTTTGTGATGGTTTAGCACACAATGCTATCAATAAAAGATTTGTTGGATGGAAAATGTTGCTTTTTTAGAGATTGGTGGCGTCACGCGCCCACCAAGAATACTCAGTTCTCGAGAAGGGTCTGTCGCACGACTTCCATATATGGTTGTGCATGTACACGGAGTGTTTGCGAACTGCATATGTGATAGGTTATGGGTTTCACTGTATCAGTCCACATTTTTCATTAATGATGCCTGTTGAAAAGTTGTTTATGCCATCTGATAATATCACTTTACAATATTTACTTTAATTCTTGTTTCTAAGCTAAGTACATTATAAAACTGTGAAATCCTTAACCCTATTCAGACTGGGCTTTTTTTTTCAATCTGTGACTGGGGGGGGGGGGGGGGACTCATTCGGCCCCCTCCCCCTCAATATCTTCGGAACCAATACGTCTATGAGCATGCATTGTAATTGCTTGTTCGTTTTGCTTTTGCCCTTGCTGCTGTTGTAAACCAGAACAAGAACAACGACCAGTACCATCGTTGCCAATAGGGCGCGCGATATTATTTCTACGCCATGGAGAGGGTATTCAAGATGTGCCTGTATCACATGGGATCCCTGGGGCAACAACTGACGGTGCACTGGTAACAACTCATTTGGCAGAGACGGTTGAAAACACTGAAAATCATGAATTGTCTCGTCCACCAACTTATGAAGAAGCCTTGGCTTCTCCTCCAACTTATGAAGAAGCAACAAAAGTGATTTGAATGCAGGCATACTGGTGTATTGTCTGAGAAGACAACAATACTTACAATTACAATACAATTACAAAGAAAAAACAGTTAAAATATATATATTTTATGATATTTTTTAAAAACAATTTAGACATGGAGTATCAAGGCAGCCGGGTTTATTCAAAGTTTGGTGAGCTATTCCTGCTCTCACTTTAAAAAAAATCTATACAATTTTATAAA